TGTACTTAAGTACAGTAACGAAGTACTTGTACTTCGTTAGTTCCCACCACTGCTAACGAGCCATCATCTGATTCAGGTGCGTTAAACCAGGGACAGAACTAAAACACGGAGGATGTCGGCCCTCCAGGACCCACTTTGGGCTCCTCTGACTTAATCTATCACATTGCAAACACTGATAGCCTTCACTGTGTGGCTATCACTGTTTGCCATTAAATGATACAGCATGCATTTAATGTCCAATATAGATGTGAAAAGAAAATGATAAATGGTTTTTGAAGTGTTTTTACTAACAAAAAGCCTCTCTACGTCTATGGTTTGTTGCGCTAGCTTCCAGTCCCTTCAGATGCTAACACCCGGTCAGACTAGATGGAAAGTGTCTGCGGACATCAATTTTTAAATCTTATCACAGATACTGAACAGGATTGGATTTCTTTCTGTCCACTAATATCCTTTAACAAACGTCTGAGGTCTTCACAGAACTGCTGGATCTATATCAAGATCAAACTTCACTTACTGATTAGTTGACTTTTGAAAGATTTTATTTTTGGGATATCATAGTAAATGGGGCAGACAGAGCTGGGCAATAAATCGATAAGAAGATATAAGGCAACAGACACATGACTAGATTCAACAGAATGATCATTAATTTCAGTGAACTAGAACTGCACAGCATTCTGGGTGATGTAGGCACCCAGATAAATATAGTGGTGCATAAAAAGACTAAAATCTGAGGTTTATCTGTTTGAAATCAGCCATCAGGACTCAGATATGTTTTTAGTCTGTTTGGCAGAGGCAAACTTGTAACAGTGTCAGCCGTTCAACCTCTCACAGCTAGCTAAACAAGTCAGATGGAGGCATCAACTAACTTGCTCTTTGGTTGCCTGGCAACAACTTGTTGAGTAACTTGTGCAGCAGCAGTTTTGAGTTTCGCCACCGTCCCTAATAACTGCTTAAAAAAATATAACAGCAGCAGCAGCAGCGAGGAGTAAAAGGAGAAAATCTGTACAACTCAAAAATGAAATGTCAGATAAAACAGGCCACCAGGCTGGCAGTTTTTCAAATGTTTAAACTAATCAATAGTTGTCAATATCGACCGATCTGAAAGACTTATGTTTTTCAGCCGTATCACCCAGCCATAGGGGCAGATTAAGAATGCGCAGCACAATATCATAATTACGGTTGTACTGATAACTGGTTTAAACGTGTGTATCACTTTGGTCTATCACATAAAACATATGGAGGTTGTAGCTTGGCAAATGTGGAAAAGCTCAAGGGGCGTGAAAGCACTGTTCATCCTGCTAACAGCACGACAGCTTTACAGTTCATCACCGCACTGTTCCCTTATCGTCACTCAAACGGCAAGAAAATACAGCAATTCACCAACAAACCTAAAGAGAAAGATGGAAGGAAATGACACACCAGCACTGCTGGGTGTAAAATAGTTTATGATCACATTTATTGGAGGTCAAGTGTACTAAAGCAGTGATTTTATAGGAACTACCAAAGATTTTATGAGGAGGAGAAAGAAATGTGTTTTTTGAAAGTTATGAGCACAACTTCAAACTATAATTAGCCAATTCCACGCTCTCTCCCTCTCGTTGTGAAATACAAGGTTGATTTCTTATCACTTTATGCTTTTACAGCTCTGAGTTTGACACCAAAACACAACTTTCCTACCATAACGGAGAGGTTTTCGGTGGTGGGTCCCAGCGCCTCCAGAGACTCGGGTTCGTCGGTGGGTCTCCTGTAGTGGAAGGCCGTCCCGGCAATGTCAAACTTCCTGGGCCAGTCGATGGTCCAAGCTCCGTTGATGTAGTAATCGTCCTCTTCGGATTTTAGAGCTGAGATATTACAAAAAATAAAAAATAAAGGTAAGAAAAAGCATTAGATTTTTTTCTGAAGCTACAGTTCTGGTCTGAAAAGTACATTTGGACTAACAATATATCTGCACTCTTAAGACTGAAGTTATTCATACCTCTGGTGTATTTAGGTTTAAAACAGAAGTGTTTTAATTTTACTGACATTTTTCTGCTGATTTGAAGTAAAGCAACCTGACTTAGATCTGACAAAGAATCTGTGGAGGGAGCTACAGATTAGGGTGATGGTAAAGAGGATTTATGACTTTAAAGACTTGGAGCTCGTCACCAAATACCAGAGGAAACACTCAAAAACTATATATATATATATATATATATATATATATATATATATATATATATATATATTTCTTTTACCAAGACAAAAAAATCAAAACATTTTAATTTTCTAAATAGATGCTTCAACATAAAGGTAAACAGTTTGTGTCCAGGATATGTGGGGTCTGCAGAGATGCTAGCTGCTCTTTTCCTGGATGAGCTTCCTCCATGGAGGGAATTTGACTTTGTAATTTAACACCTTGAAATTGGACCTCTGTCTCTTTAAGAAACTCCTCCTCTCTCTGAAACGCCGCCTTCAGGAAGTCATCATAACATGGCTCCTCTATTAACCATATAACAACGTTTTTTACCAGTGTTGAACTTAGAAGTAACTCCTATAATGTGCTGATGCGCAGCTCCAACAGGTGTTTGCTAATTGCTGCTGGCTAGTCTGAAGGAGCTGAGTGGGGGAGTTGCAGGAGGAGGGGCTGCTCTGTGAGCCAACAGCTAAAAAACTTGGAAACTGCAGCCTGGTAGCGCTGTATTTGAAGGGGTGTGAATGAGACTGACATGACACCGTCTAACATGTCTCCATGAATGTTTATGACCGCTGTCATGAAGTGTCATTTGGTAAATAATAACACTTTCAATGGACTTTTCATGCAAATTTTAGTGCAATTTTGCATTTCATGACAACAGTTGTAAACATTCGTGAAGACTCTGTTGTTACATGACAGGTGTCAGTCTCATGCACACCCCTTCAAATAAAGTGTTACCCTGCAGCTCCAGGCCTGTCTTTGATAATCATAGCATGATATAAAACTCAAAAAAGTTGATTTTACATAATACTGCCCCTTTAATCAAAAATTGATAGGGGCCGAGGGTCAGAAAAAAATCCACAATCAAATCAAACTTGTTCACTGAGTCCTTGGTGTAAACAAAGGCCACATTATGGCAGCCTTGCTGGTAAAGAGCATTCAGGTGGAGCATAATTTTGGACAAGAAAATGTTTAAACTTCAAAATCACGTTTTCTGTGCATCCAAATAAGAAAAACAAACTATGCAGTTACTTAATATTCTGACACTCTGCATCATGTTCTGCAGACTGTCCCCCACAGCTTTTACTTGACAAACAACGCTCCTTAACATACCACAGCCTCCTCCTTTATCTATAAATCCATTTTCAGCACATCTGGCTCTGATCGCGAGCATTGTGATTTTTTTTTTTTTGACCAGCGCAGTCCGCAAATATTCTCCTCCCTCACCATCACCACCACCCTTCACCCGCCACCCGTCTCTGTATTTATGCTTCCTCAAGCAGACCTAATAAAACACTGGGGGGAAAAAAATCCAAACTACTCTAACCAGAGGAGCAGAGAGTCAGGCAACGCTACATAAGAACAATATTATCATTATCAACTGAGGTCACAGATGAAATTCATAACAAAGTTACAAACCGCTCGGACGGGAAAATAATAGCCCCCACCCCAAAAAAAAAAAAAAAAAAAAAAAAAGAGCGAGTCTTTAAACTGTGATATATGAACATCATATCCTTGGCGTTCCCGGCGGAGCAGGCAGCTGTCACCACGGCCCTATAAATCTGACGCGGCTCTCCGCTTCAGAGTGTGACTTAAGTCGTCCATCAACGCCGTCCGCTATAAATCCAACGCGCTGCCACACGTCTTCCTGTGGTTAATGACAAGATGCGGGGCCGGCTTAATTGAATCCGGTCGTCTGATTGTTTTGCTTCTGATGCTGCCAGGGATGTGAATACTATTTATTTTTTTTGTTTAGTCTGGAACAAAGTGGATGAGTCTGATGCCAAGGTGGTTATTAATAGGATTCAGGGAGGTTTTTTTTTTTTTTTTCACTTAAGAGAGACTGTGTTTTACGGCTTCGTGTTAAGCAAGAGGAGATTAGATGATGGGATTCTCCAATTTGCTTTTTTCTCTTTAAAAAAAAAGACGTGAGGAAATGTGGATGACATGGACCTAAATATGAAACAGCTTGGGCGTTGCGAACTGCCAAATCATCGCACGGTGGTAAATTAACTCCTCTACACATAAGCAAAAAACTAGACTGTATGGGAATGTCCTTAAAGTGCTTGAAATTTTGCTTTGCTGCATGTTCGTGTGGGATTTCTTACCTTTAAATTTGAAAGATGTGAAACGTTTGAATACTGCTAAGAGTATTAAATATCTGCAGTGGTCCAGACCTTGGCGGCACGGTTACAACACGTTATTTATTCTCCTGTTTTCTTGTTACTCTTGTACACATTTTTGCTGCTGTGCTTTGAATTGTGGCCCTTGTTGCCTGACCTAATCTCAGGAGTGGTTCAGAAAAATTTAGATGTTTATTCTTATCATTTTGCACACACAAAAAAAATCTTAGACGTGTCTGAGGTTTCAAAACTTGCACTGTAGCTTTAAAAAGCAGCCAGAAATGAGGTCGTCTCTGGATTATTTTGGACACAATGCGATCTCAATTAGAAGCATTCACAAAACGTCTGTGGCAAGATCAGAATGGCTCGTTGCTATGGTTGCAATATATCAAGGGCATAATAATCCATCTGTTTCCTGAGATCAAAAAGATTAGAGATCAACATACGATGGTCTCACTGTATGTAGAGATCCCAGCTGGGCAAAGGCACATACACCTCCAAATTGCCCATACAGTGGACCCCCGGTATTCACGGGAAGTAAGGACCACAGCAGAATGTTGGAGACTTCTATGAAACTAAATTGGGGTCATAAAGTTTGTTCAAAACAAAATGAATTTGAGACGGAAACACAAAATGTTTGGAAACTGAAAAAAAAATCCCAGAAAAAAAAGGTTGAATCTGAAATTAAGTTTTGAATTATTTTTTCAGTTTCAATTAATTTAATTTTTTTTTTTTACAGTTTTATGCTATTTTTCAATCTCAATTTTTTCAGTTTTAAATCTTTTTGTTGTCAGTTTCACAGTTTTTTCCTTTTATGTCCCCAATTTAGCTCCACAGACCTGCTAACAGGTGCCTATCAACAGCTCAGCCACCAAATAGACCTTAAAATACATTCATATATGCAGTGGAAACCATCTTGGCACTAAAGCAGAAGTTAACATCTACAGTCTTTTTTAATTCCACTTTTGGGGGTGCAACCAATCAACCAATCAGGTTCAAGGAAGATAAATAGTGAGACAACTGAAGCACACTGGGATGATATTTAAGTGCAGTTGGGTCCCAGAGAAACTGGTGTTAAACTGCTATCTCACTGCTAACATGATTAGCACAGTGTCAGTCGTCTCTATAGCTGTGAAGGGGTAGAAAATGCCTAATTTCATCCAAGGTGTCTTATGACTTTTGGCAGAAATTTGTTTTGTATGCGAGTACAGATCATTTTGTCCATGAAGGGAGTTTGTATAATGTTTGGAATATTTTGACAGGAAATTAACTCCATACACAGTCCTTGCTGATTCCAACACATTTTGGAATCTCACACCACTAACTTGTTCTCAATAAGGTTGCAAAGAGGAGCCTATTGCAGTCTGTAACTCACCTATGTAGTTCTTTGACACGGCGACTTCTCTGATCTCGATGTGAACCGAACCTTTTGGGATCTGAACCACCTCCATGTAGCCTGGGAAACCCAAAAAAAAAAAAAAACGATCATTTGGAGGGACCAAAACTCCCCCTCCCCAACCAACCTCCTCTATGTGACATATTACTCCAGCACAGACAAGACGTAAGGTTACGTCTGAATCTAAGTAGGAGTACATATAGATTAAATTCCAAACCACCCAAAAAGGACAAAGCAACCCTGCAGGAGGACAAAAAGGCTCCATTTTTATTTTTCCCCCTTTTTCTTTTTTTACTGTCCATCATGCATACGTCATATTTTTAGGTGGTTTACAAGCCATACCATAGAAGGAGAAATATGTTTTCTCCTACTCCTGCTCTCTATAGACAAACCCAGACCGCACTACACCAAGCGGCTGATTCCTGCACTCCCTGATCTAATTAACAGGAAGAAATACGTTTCCATCCCTATCTTGACACAGCTACGGTAATCGTGATAAAGGGAAACGATTACCTTCCCGGTTCCAACCAAGTACAAGACTGGTTTACCAAAAGAGGGCTGAGTCACATCATGGTCTGACAAGCAAAGCAGAAAGCGCTATCTCTCTACCGCAGTTCATCAGTGGAGATCTAACACAACTCTGACGTGTCGACCCTCTTCTCCTAAACGTCGGGGCAGGAGGTCAGACATGGTTTACCTCCTCTGGGCAGAGAGTCGTTGAAGAGCCCCTCGGTGGCCTCGCAGGTGCTGCTGTCCCCTCCGCACACACGGCACCGGTCTTCTCTTGCGACCGAGTCCAGGATGTTGTCGCAGCCCACATGCTTTGGAGGCAACAGAGGAAGAGACGCAAAGTCACGATTGTTAAAACTGATTAAAGGCTGGGATTGTTTCATCACGGCTCACGTTAGCTTTACCTCACGTTTTGTTTGAATTTTCTAATGGATAGATTTAGTTGAGAACAAGCTAGGCTACTCGTATTCAGTCTGACAAAAGGCTTACAAACACAAATGCAATGTAGTTTATGTGATAGTCCAACATAAAGTAGCTCATAAGTGTGGAAGGGAGGGAAAAAACATACCAAGGACTTCGTGAGCAAATTAGTAGATGGTTAGAAAACCTACGTACAAAAAACAACTCTGCTCTGTTTTTAACATGTATCATTGCTTAAAATTCTGTCCCTGAAGAAATTAATTTGAATCGTATTGAATACACGTCATTTCCGATTTTTTTTCTGATGTGTTCAGGGTTATGTGCAGTGTAAGGTTAGCGGCCCACTTAGTATTTAGCTTGTAGGACAAAATTTAATTTTTTTTGACCCATCTGCCAAAGACCACACAATATCACACAAAATCTCAGAAAATCCAATGAAATCAATGGTTGCAATGAGATAAAAAATGAGAAGCCTTAAGATGTGTAGATACATTCCAGACATCAGCAGGGTTTAGCTGCTATAGACAGTTATGGGTTGAAAATTGGTAAAAGTTTCAGTCATATACAAAAGTTCAAGTTTTTTAATATGCCAGAGAAACTGTTGGAACAACTTTAGTTTTCACTGGCTGTGAGGAGCACAGAGCTGCACCTCTCCTATTGTTGCTCCACTGCAGGTCAGCTAGCCAAAAGAAGGCTACTACTACTCTTTTCTTTTGTGAAAAAAATATAGAAAGTCATGCTGAGGAAACTGAAACATGACCATCTGTCGATCTTATGAAGGCAGTAGTGTTTTAAAAGGGAGATAAAGGCATGTCTGGCAGACAGCCATGCTAATTTAGAAGCTAATGTTAGCTTGCTATAGCAGTATACACGGTAAAGCACCAAGAAGGTATATTCAGTGCAGTTGGAATCGGAAAACTACTACTTTTAGTTGGTGTTTATTTAATGTAGCATCAAAACGTACATAAAAATCAATAAATAAATCTTAGATATATTATTTCTTACTTTGAAAGAAGAAGGACTGCATATTTATTTGGTTTAACATAAAAGTAACTTGTTTTGTAATGTTCTCATGTTTAAATTGTTGCATAGTTATATTGTGTAATACGGTGATTTCTTTCTTTTTTTTTCACTCAAGGTTCTCATGCTGACTTATCTCTTCAGTGGAGTGACTTTACCCTCCCTTATACATGTTTCTAATGCTTTTCTTTCTGGACCAGAGTGAAACAATTTTGCTACTAGCTTAGGTTCTTATTTTTGCAACACTTTTAATGGAGAGCAGCCAGGTCGAGATAGGTTTGTGCAGCGTTTTACGCTTTTTGTAGGCTTGCTGTGTCCTTCTGGCAGAACCGTCCCAGCGATTTCTGTTTCCAGGGTTTATGCTATGCTAAGCTAACAGCTGCTGCGTATGAGGGAAAGCTAAGCAGGTTTATTGAGAGCTGGCATCAGTCTAAGAGAAAACAAATGAACACGGTTCCCTCCTGAAGCTGAAACAGGACGGGCTCATCCAGTGTGGGGGATTTCAGAGGGAAGGATTTGTCTTTTGTTTGTTTATGAAGGAAGTCACCAGAGTACAACAATGCCCTCCACCTTTTATTTAGCCAGTATTCCCACAGCCTCATGGAAATCCACTTCCTCCACTGTTTTAACTCCGGATTCAGACATTTTATACATGTGCTGTAGTATAATGATGAAATCCAGCTGGTGAGTGTTGTTGCTAGAAAGTTAATCTTGACTTCATTCTTTAATGTTCTGATAACACTGACTACACAATAATTCAGCTGAGTTCAAAGTCGAAGAGTTTAGTTTTATGGGATTACTTTATGGTTTGATTTGTCACCTGAGCTTGGCAGTTTATTGACATCCGGCACCTTGATTTGTCATTCGTTACCTCGGCTTTAAACCATTCCAGTTCCTTTGTGTGTTGTTTTTTAAGCACAATACACAGAAATCAATCAGATTGTGGGGGAGAGCATCAATAGTTCAGCCTTGCCACAGATTCTGAACAGAATTTATGTCAGGACTTTGACTAGGTCGTTCTTACAAACTGCTCCGATCTACACCCCTCTATTATACATTTGTGTTAGTGGAAGATGGAGGAGCACTGATAAATCGACCCTGATTTTCTTTATTTTGGAAGATCTACCCCCGGCAAAAGTCTAAGTGACTGTTAGCAAGGTCATGTCTGCTAACAATAGTCACAACACTGTTGCCAATTCAGCAACTTTCTTACTGTGTTTACCAACATTTCAGACAGAATCATCGGTATCGGACAAAATCATAATCAGCAGGTCAAGTGTTTTAAAAATCGTAATCGGCAATCGGAAAGAAAACTGTAATCGGTGCACCAAAGGTGAAGTTCTGCCTCAGCCTCGAGTCTGTTGTGGCCCCTATCAACTCTGCTGAAACCAAAATCCCATTGCATGATGCTGCCACCACCAAGTTTCACAGTGGGGATGTTGTGAGCAGACAGACTCCGTTTTACACCTCAACTAAGACGTTCCTCAAAAGGGAACTAAACGCAAATGTGTGTCAAACTTTTCAGATTTTTTTTGTAAAAATGAAGAAAAAAGTAAAATCATTACGTACTACTCCTTATTGGGACATAAAATACAAATAAGTTAGAATTGCTTTTAATTGTGAAAATTTAAGCAATTTTGAGTTGGAAAAAGAAAGTTCATGAATCAGAACCTCGCAGATAAAAGTGGGACGCAGGATTCAAACTGGAAACAGCTTCTGGCCATCTACAACACACAATGTTGTGTGTGTTTGCCTGTGTGCGCGGGTGTGTGCGTGTGTGTGTTTGTTCCACTCTCTTTTTTTATGAGAATCAGATTAAAGTTGTGGGCAGAGCCGCTGCATTTCTGTGCCAAGCTGGAATCAAATTGTACGGTCAGGTGGAAGTCAAAGCAAATACTTTAAGTGAGGAACCAAAAAGTTATTTCAGCTGCATCTGGAAGATTACACAGAAAAACCTTCTCCTGCACACACACACACGGACACACACACACAAACACACACACACGGACACACACAAGCCCCACAATGATTTATGCTCATGAAAACAAAACGAGCACCAGCTGCCAACTCCTTTCAATAAAACCGTATTTTGTCTTGTTATTAAAACGGCCTTTTCAAATATAAAGAAAATTGTTATTCAATAAAAACTGGATTTTTTTTTTTTTGATGTTTTATTTACCATAAAACAATCCAGAGTGAGGCTGCAGGGCCCTGATAAGAGTTCCTCCAGCGTCACTCGATCGCAATCAGAGACTCAAAGACCTGATTGTTCCTCACTGGAGAATAGTTTTTTTTCCTCTTCTCTTTCTCTTTGCTTCGGGAATCGTGTTTATACAATCGGTATCCAGCCGTCAAAGACGACCCAGGAGGAGGAGGGAAAAGCCGAGATAGAGCGACGGCGGAGCGTTTTATTTGACAAAATTAAACGGCCAGCGTTTACAATCACAAGAGCGCACAAGATTACATGCTATCGGAGCGCGCTCCCGCTATCGGAGCGTGCTCCCACTACGGCCGTGTGATGAATGCGAGCGTCTCTGCTTTCCTTTGAGCTTACTCAGACAAACCGAAGGGAGGGTTTTCTCCTCTTTTCTAGGGAATTAAGTATAATTGGGCAAATGACCATAACTGTAAAATGTTGACTTTTTCCAGAATTATTTAAGAGGGAGGCTGCTGCTGCCTCATGAACAGACCTAAATAATGGCTCTCCTTGTGAGCGCCGCTGTGCCAGGTCATTACTGTTTTCAGGGCTTTGTTTGCGACTCGCTCTCTCCGCCTCTGGTTTGGGCTGAGCTGAATGAAGAGCAGCCAGGCGAGGGTCAATTCTGAGATAAAAGTCAGAATTATTTTTTTGTTTCGTTTTTTTTTTTTCAATAACAGCTGTTTACAGATGTTCTCCAGCCATTTTGCACAAAAAAAAATGCATCAAAAATATAAAAAATTTTTGTTCTAGTTTCTAGTGCAAATATCTTAGTGCAGTTGAAACAAGACAAAACTAATTTCAGTACTACTTTCAATAAGACTCTCCTTATAGATGAGAAGGAGACAAAATCTTCTGGTTGACCTTTGACCTGAGATGTATCAAGTTAGGAATCCAGAACTCAAAGTTTGGTCCAGCAGCAGCGGCTGAAATCATTTTGAGGAATGTCAGGAATTCTGCAGACGTCACTGGTTTCTTGCCAAATCTGTTCACAAAGATATTATATCTAGAGTTGTTATACTAAACATTTCAGTCGACCCTGTAAGCCTAATTTACAATAGTAAATGCAATTTGTTATCATATAGTTTCCTTCTGACCCTTATGTAAAGAATAATAAACAGTTATTAGTGATTTATAAGGTGTTTATAGATTGAGTGATAACACACACACACACACATTATATATATATCTATATATATATATCTATATATATATATAAACTATTTATTAGCCATGTATAAGTATTTTTTGTAACATGGCACCATTATGTCAACATATAATTATATAATAATAGCAATGTTAGTAGTGTTTGCTAGGAAACCACTTTACTATATATATTAACTATTTTGCAGTCATATTTTGTAGTAGAAGAGGTTTCTATTATCCTGAACACTATTTTAAAAGTAGAAAAGCAACTTCTCTGTTTTTATTGTTGTACTTTCCCGCTACGTTTGCTAACGCACTGTGCGACTCCAGGGGGCTAAGCCCCCCTTGTCTTTAAACCTTAGTGTCGCCCCTGGCAATAAGTTCAATCTCTGGATTTAAAAAGCTTTTTCTTTTCCCCTCCTCAGTTTGGGGTGTGAATACTTTTGCAAGCCACTTTTTATTGCTCAAATAATCTCAAACATTTCTTCTTGAAGGCTGTTTGGGTTGCTAGCTAAAGTACTCAAAAACTACCAAGCTCAATTTCACAAAAGATCACATCAAATACACATTAATTTATGCACAAATCTAAACATTAATGCGTTTCTGTATAAAAACAACCACTTAATTGCAGTTTTTCCTTCAGATGTTGGGGTAAATCACCTCGGCATGTGCTCAGCATTCCAGATGAGTGATGCTTGCTCGCCTTACCTTACACTCCCCGTTGATGCAGATGTCCAGAGAGTCAGCCTGACATCGGGTGCCGTCGACGACAGCAGGGGAGCGCTCCGTGTAGAAGTTATAGCCCTCCGCCAGGCAGTTGAGTGCGCAGGGCTTCACGCCACCTGGAACACACGGCGAACATATTGTTACCTCCCGCTGAGCCTGCGCACGGAGAGAGGTCGGCGTGACCTGAACCCGAGCCGCATGCTGAGCTGCAGCCGGTGTTGACAAAACATAAACGCTGAGAAAATTCAGCAAACTAAAATCCACTCACCAAAAAACGAAAAAGAACAAAACGTGAAATCCAAAGAGACACAACGACCTGCCAATGACAATTAGCTCACGCTATCCGTTTCTTTTATTATTTTTTTTTACATAAACATGAAGTGATGTAGGTCAAGAGATCAACGGTCGAACTGAACAGCTCTTTTGACAAATGAGACCACACTTGCATTGCAAGAATTTCAAAGACCGACTGGTTCCCAAAATCTCTACTAGTTTGACTCAGAAAACTATGTCTCATCTTCTGGTTGACCCGAGATGCATCGAGCGAGGAGTCCAGAACTCCAAGTTTGGTCCAGCAGCAGCGGCTGAAAGGATTCAGAGGAATGCCAGGAACTCTGCAGACATCAAACAGAAGCGACTCTGTTGGTGTGAACGGGGAACACGGCTCCAAACGGGCCTGCAAGCCGTCAGCGGTGACACGGAGAGGACGACAGGTCTCACTGCTCTGCGCTTTAACAAAACAGGCTGCCTATGCAGTCTGGACAGACTGGACGGGTCTGGGATCCGATTGAAGTATTTGAAATGTTTGAGTAGGTATGGAAAAGGAGAGTAGAGTATTTATATAGTATGTTTCGTTCCCACTGTCTCCATTCCTTCCATATGTAAAACCTGACCACTGTGGTTCAGTTTATGGATCTTAAAGGAGCCGTATTATGTATTTTCCAGGTACACGATGTCATTTTATAACAAGTAACTATGTTGTTATA